GCTGCTCCCACGACCTCTCTTAGCCTTGTGTAAGGCAGAGCATGAAATAGGTGTGAGGATATTCAGAGAGTTGATAAAATCTAGCTGGGGCTCACGAGCTGTGTCCCCAAATTTCCATGAATCCTTCAGGGACCTGTGTTTTGTTTGGGCTTGGGAACCTCTGTCAGCAGTTGTGTGCACTGAGGAAGCTTGTGCCTGGCCCTGCCTGGGACGTGTCCAGCCTCAGCTTGCAGCCCCTGCATCCAGGAGAGGATTTCCACCTCAGTTCTTGTGCAGTTAGCAAATCCTGCTATTTGGATAAAGTGGAATGTTTCAGGTCGTTCTAGTTACAGGTCAAGGGTTTTGGGCTGGTGGTTCTAGTGGTTCCTCAAAGCCTTTTCCAGCTTTCTCAGTATTTCTCCTATGAACTTGCAGTCAGATGTGTTAGATGGGACCCGCTGAAGCCCAATGCAGAGGTAAAGAGGGAGGCATTCTGACCTGATACTCCCCAATTTCTCTTTCAAGAATCAGATTATTGTGTTTAATCCAGGTCTGTGCTGGGAGCTCACCATCAGCTGAGGAACTTTGAGGGTCTGATGCTTTATTTTCCATACACTGCTGAAGGTCAGGCTCAGCTGAAGGGTGTCCCTCTGGGAGAGGAGGGAGATGACCCAGATGCAGTGTGGGCTTGTCCTAAACCACTGGTACTTCTCTGCCTGGTGTTCAGGGTGCATGGTGATGTAAAACACCATCTGCCACCCCTCACTCCCTGGGGTGGTTGGCACCCTGGGACATGCTCCTGGGTTTTGTTGAACTGAGAAGTGTTTTTGGTGTTTAGTGAACGTTCTCTGCTGCTTTCTGTTGCTAACCAGAAGTTGCATTTCAGGCTCTCAGCCCTCATCTGTTAGCTTCCCACAGCTCAGCCCGCTGGTGCTGCTCAGGGGCTGTTTGTCCTGGCCCTTGGCAGGGTGCTGGGAGGACTCTGAGTGTTGGGGTGTCACTGGAGGGGCAGAGCTCAGGCTGGCACACAGCTCTGCTCCCTGCCCTGAGCAGCACTCCCCGCTCCCGCCTCAGCCTGCTGCCTGAACGTGTCCTCTCCTCTTCTAGGCTGCAAGCACGTGAAGGGCATCCTCCTGTACGGCCCTCCAGGCTGTGGCAAAACCCTCATGGCACGGCAGATTGGCAAGATGCTGAATGCCAGGGAGCCAAAGGTGGTCAACGGGCCAGAGATCCTCAACAAGTACGTGGGCGAGTCCGAGGCCAACATCCGCAAGCTGTTTGCTGATGCAGAAGAGGAGCAGAGGAGGGTAATGCCAGCCTAGCTGAGCAGCGTGCTCAGGAGTGTGTGTGAAAGGATGAGCAGAAAGGAGGTTTATAGTCAGAAAATGACTCTTTGCATTAAAACCTGAGTCACTGCCTGGCTTGCTGGAACAGCTACTCCATGCGAGTCGCCGAATGTTAGTGCCCTGCAGAGTCACTCTCTGTCAGCTGAGAAACAGTCTCAGGACCTGAAAAGGCAGCTGGGCTGTGCTGAAGATAGACAGTTTGTTTAAATTCCAAGGAATACAGTAGGGCCTGTTTGTTTTTTCTGTGTCAGCTGCTTAAAAAGTGCTTAAAAATGGGATTGCAGAAGTTTTGCTCCGTTCTTTTTCTCTTTTATATCTTGTGGGGGAGACATCATTAATCTACTTCCATTTTTGCTGCCTAATTCAGGTGGCACAGAGCACAGGATGAATTTCAAATAAGCTTTCACAGTTGCAGATTTTTGGATTACAGGCCTATGAGTGTAAGTGTGTTTTCATCCTGGAAGTCTTATAATCGATACATCAGTAATTTTTCTCAGCAGAAAACTAAAGCATGAGGCTAGTGTCTCAAAACCAAACATACAGATCTTTGAAACTGGAAGATAAAGATTCTGGTTTGTTCCAAACTTGTTTTTTTTATCCATCCCTTTAGCTGGCTATTAAAAGCCCTGTCTTCAGTTTAATGGTGTACTTATTTCATATATGCTGTGGTGATTTTTCTCTACTGTGGCTCACTCTAATCTTGATAGATTTTTGTGGCAGAGAAAACACAATGTCAGGCAAGTCACAGTTCAATGTAGGGAAGTGTTTTCAGAAGACATTAGCAAAGGACATTGTACCTCTTAATTTTATTTGTGCCTGTCAAGACTGCAGAGTTTAGTAGTGGCTTGAAATCATTTCATTTTCTTCTGCCAAAGATTTATTAATCAGTAAGTCAGCTTTGTGTGGTGACCCACAGTGAAGTAAACAGCCTGCCTCACTCTGGTGGTTGCAGCAGGACTGAGAGCCCTGAGCTGCTTTTCCTTTGCAATAACACACCTGTTAAAACAGAGTTTATATTGGCTGCAGGGGATGGTCCTGATGACAAGTGGTGAGATTAAAAAGGTCTCCAAAAGGTTGGTATTGTAATGACTTGTGTCTGGGGCAGACTGCCAGGGACAGCACATGTACCAGTGTTAACGTGGTCTCCACTGTCCACAAAAGAGGTTTTAGAGGTGGAATTTGAGGGGGAAAAAATCTTCATAATATGGTCACAAAAAGTATCCTGTTCTCTTAGCAGCTGCAACTGCTTCACCTTTGGGTGAACCTGGAAATAAGCAGTTCTGCTCCTGATCAGCACGGCACAGACGGGCTCCTCAACAGCATGGAGAGCAAAGCTGCTCTGGCAAGCTGTGTGTTCACCAGCCTCAGTCCAGCCTGGAGCATCTCCCCCAGTGGGCTCAGCCCTCCACAGTCAGGCTTTGTTCCCTGACTCCCATTTGAAGGACTAACCCAGAATCTGAAGGCTGTGACCTCCTGTCTGAGCTGTGTGTTCCAGCTTGGGGCCTGTCTGTTCCAGCTCCATCCTCTTCCTTGGAACACGGCTTCCTACCAATGGCAGCTGGCAAGTCCTCTGTTTGGGCAAAGCCCACCAGAATAACACCTTGCCATCCTCTAAAACAGGGTAGCCACCCCATTTTGGAGGATGGCAAGGTGTTATTCTGGAAAGGGATCTGATTCATAGACAACACGTGCACCTAGAACCACCCGGAGGTGTCCCTGCCCTGTGTGTGTGTGTGGTGGAGCTGGTTGGGAAGCTGCTGTTTGGTTGGGATTGCCTTCA